GGTTTATGTATCCATAATGTTGCTCGTTTCACAAAAGCCTGCTTGCAGAGTGCTGCTGTTCGACGTGAAAAGGAGGAGGGTAGCTTGTGTAGGGTTGCTCATGGGGAGGTGTTGCTTGCTTGGACATGGGGCCCAATCGTGCTCGTGCATGTCAGGAAAGTGTGCCTATGCTTAGTTTTGCGTCTCACAGAATGCTTGATGAGTTGTGTGTTGTGTCTCACCTAGAACGATCTGCGTTGAAAAGCTTGATTTTGCATGCGCTGGCTTCAAAAGCTCGTGCGCCCTCTCCACTACGCAGCGCATCCAGACTGATGGTGATTTTCTTTGTCTGAAAGGATTTTCTTTGCGTGTGGGCGATGCCCAACAGGTCACAGCGGCAAGCAACGGTCCAAGACGGCCATGGGAAAATTTTCACGTTGCCAGCACTCCACATGTACGTGTGCAATGGCATGCCATGCAAAAAGGAACGAACGCTGCGCCAAATGCAGTGAAACAATTGGAGTCAAGCATAGCACACACACACACACACACTTGTCGTGCCATTGCACGCAGTCATGAACACGCAGCTGGCGCAGAGTGCATCTCGCATCATCACTGGCTTTTTTCCGTCCCCCGCATCAAACTCCCAGCTTCATTTGTCAGCAGCAGCTGTCCCAGTCCGCCGATACTGGCGATGTTGCTGCCTCAGAAATGCACATGTGAGTGAGACCGCCATGGTGCGCAAACACCCGCATGTGCGTGCTCCATGCCAGCCAGCAAAGCAAATGTGAGACGCGCATGCGAGCAAGTTGGTGCCTTTTCATCGCTGCTCGGGGTGCGCCCGGTTGAAATGACTGACTGTGCTCACAGCTCCCATTCCAGCAAGCAGGCGACTGTTTCTTGCAAACAGTCTCAAGCAGCCCGACGGCCTGGGAGCATCACAACAGTATCAGCATCCTTTCTTAACACGCTGGATCTCCATACGTTGATAAGTTTGCCGTATAACAAAAATTGCAAGGGCTCTTTGCTGTACTGTTGCTGCACACGCAGCTCAGTCTATCTCGAATCACCCCGAATCAAAACATTTAAGTTCGGCACTAGAGCCGAATGCGATCTCGAATCGCTTGGAATCAAAACATCTAGATACCAGCCAGCGTCTGAATTCGATCACTTGAGCAAGTGTTTGCCCAACTTCAAGACGTCCCCCACAGCCTGCTGTTTATCCTTTTCCGACTTCTTCTTGCCGCCCTTGGCAGTCAGCGTCCCGGAGCGGCGAAGATTGGCGAGAAGAGCCGGCAAGCCCATGAGAGAATCACTGCTCACTGCGGCCGTCACGGACACCTCCTGCCCTGCAGCACGGCTCTGCAACTGCTGCTTTTGCTTCTGCAAGGCGTCTTGAAGGGCTTTTGTGCGTGCAGACATGTCCTCACCGCTGCCCTCGTGGCTGCTGGACATGACAGTCAAAGGCACAGCGGTTGGCATCTTGATGTCATTCAGAGCTTTTTCGATTGCCAGCTGCGCTTCCTTGTCACGCTTCTCTGCGTCTTCTGCACTCTTCAATTCTTCCGTTGCGGCCTGCAGCTGGGCCTCTAACGCCTGAAGAATGTCCTCTTCCTGAGGCTGCTGACCTTTGCTGCTGCCCTTCGCTTTCTTCTTCTTCTGCTCCTTGGCTTCGGCTGCCGACCGCTTGCGCATAGATGCTGCCACCAAAGACTTTGCAGTCTTCTGTGCCTTCTCCTTCTGCTTCTCCAGGTCCATCTCCAACTTCTGCTGGATGCCGGCGCTCGGGGTCAGCACATTCATCTGGCAGCTGCCGGTAACTTGGTTGAAACTTTGACGTAAAGATTTCCATGCATGCAACTGCACTCGATCTACCAGAATCCACGACATGGCTCAAGGACTCAAGCAGTGCAAGCAGGCATGCAGGCACGCGGGCGCAGTGCAACCAGCTGCAGATCAGAAGAGTGAAATAGTGAAACTCGGTGAGACTCTTTCCAAGTTCGATGATGCGATGAGCATATTTCAGCCAAGAAGCGTGTGCATCCGCCGCCCGCCAAGCACTTGTCCTTGAGCGTGTTGATCCGCTGCCTCTCGGTGTCTGCCTCCGCGCCTGTGTCCTCGTCATCTGGCAACAAGACATAGTCGAACTGGTGCAGTGCCTGGAGCTTTCCATTGTCGTCCATGCTGCGCAAAACCAAGAAGGATCTCTTTCGGCAAGAGTTGTTGAAGAAGCACTCAGAGGCTTTGCTGACAACCTTGGCTGCCCACGCGGGGACAAGCACGTCCGCTGCCAACGCATCCGGTCTTGGCTGGATGAAGAACTTCAGCCCAAACAGGGAAGTGAAAAGCACTGACTTCTGAGGGTTTGCAAGTGAAACAGTCCCACCGTACGGCAGCGACAGGTCCTCCGGACTCAAAGGCAGCTGTGCTTGGAAGCCGTCCTTCTTGGCTCTCAAGTCAACCAAGACCTTCTCAGATCCGGCCTGCAACTGTTCATACATTTGCCACCGCATAATCTCCAACTTTTTTTCCATGACCTTGAGACTAACAGAGTTGAAGTCAGACGCCGTCAGGTTCAAGATCTCGCCCTCCTCAGAGGCGCGCAGCGCAGACATGCCTGCTGCCACGGCCTCATCTGCGTAGCTGTTGATCATGCTCAACTTCACGATCGCCGAAGACAAACCTTCCCCACCTTCACCTTTACCAATCCTCGTGCTCTGGCCACGTTCGCCAGCATCACTGGCTTCACCGTCACCCTCACCCTCCTTCTGGCCCCCGGCTTCACCTTGCGGCAAACACAGCGCGCACAGCAGGCCACGGAAAAGCATCATGCAACCACAGGGGCCCTGCATGTGTGAAACTGTGAAACGGACTCCAGAAGCGGAAGCCGCACTTGCACTGCACCAACGCAACCCGAGGCAAAGCATCACATGAGCGAGAGCCACGATGTGAAACTTAGAAACTTGTTTTGGAAACCCGGCCCATCCGACCTTGCGCCGTATCTTTGTCACCTTCTGCTGCTCCCTCTCTTGCGACCTCTACGACCTTCTTGAACGACTGCCACGACAATCTGGCCATGTCTGCCACGCTTGCCTGCGCGCTGCTGCCGCCGCCATTCTTCGAGGCGTCCGTGGCATTGCCTGCAGCATCTGCCAAGCCTGTCTTTCCGACCTTTTTCTGCAGAGCCTCGCAGAATGCATCGTAGCTCTCTGAACCGCCCAGCAACACAGCCCAGTCAGCAGCCCAGAATTTGGCAAACTGCATCGAGTCATACACACCCATTGTCTGGAATGTGTCGCTCAAGTGCCACTTGTTGGGCGACACCTCGCAAATCTGCAGCAAGCACTCAGTCATGGACTCAGACAGTGCCAGTCGCGGGTGCGGATCCCTCATGCCCAAGGTTTCCTTCAGAATGTAGAGCAAGTACCTGACACGCAAAGACGCAAACTCAGTGAGCTTCTCCTCAGTCTTGAACACCTGCGAAATTGAAAAATATCTTGTGAGACTTGTGTGGGTAATGTGACTGCGAAACAACTTGAAACAATGCACTGCCCGGCGCTGCCCAAAGCACTGCGCAGCAACTTACATGACACGTGTGAAGCCGAGTTGAAGACCTAGATGTGAAACCACGCCCTGCGACTTACATGACTCAAGCAAAGACATGCAGTAGGGTCTGTGGAGCCTCCTGGGTGTTTTCTACGAAGTGACCATGGTCAGCGTGCGCTCCAACACAGTCAAACGCAAATCCCATCCAAGATGAGGGAACATACTCCGAGATGGTATCGAACACAATGGAGAGCACATCTACAAGCTGACGGTTGCTGTCTGCAGGCAGCGTCGCGATCTGCTTCAGGGACGTCTGAACCGCCTGGTGCATCACCAAAGGGAGCGGCAAATCCTTGGCGAGGAAGCTTGTGAGTGGCTCCACGAGCGCCTCACGCTGTTCCAGCATCACTACAAGGATGTTCTTCATGGTCTGCTCCTCGGCATCTTCCTCCCCCCAGACAACCTGTGTCACAGGCAATGAGTGAAAGCTCTTGCACAGCATCTGAGCCAGCTCCAACGGTGAGACATTGCTCTGCTTCTTGTCCTTGCCTGTACGTCCCGGTCCCGGCCCTTGCGCATCGGAAGGTGAAGCAAAGCACGCCTGCAGGAGGTCATTTGCGTCAAGCATAGCCTGTTGCAATTCAGTGCGTAGAGCCGAGTATTGGCGGAATTCTCTTCCGTTGAGGCTCACGCGTCCTTGCCAGGCGAATTCGAAGAAAAGCCCCAAGCAGAATGCATAGGACGCGAGGAGTTTCGACTCATCTGCAATGCTGCCCATCTTGCGGACGACAAACTGCAAAGCAGCCATGATGTCGTCCAGGGCTGTGATCGGCCTCGATTCGCCTGACGTGGCAAGGGCTATCGTGCTGTAGGAAGCACGCTCCTCATCATAGCCTTTGAACAAGGACCTCTTGCGCTCAGCTTTCCCGATCTTTGCCTTTTTGGCTGCTGGCTCACCCGCTGCTTGATCCTCAGGCTCAGCTGTGTCCTTGTCTGCGTCGCTTGCTTTGCCATCCTGGTCACGTGCGTCAGACTGATGCAGCTGGGCATCGCTGGGAGCCTGTGGCGCTGAGTCTCCTGGCGTCGCCCCCAGCCCCAGTTTCTCTTTCTCCTTGTCCTTCATCTGAATATCCAGCCCCTCGACATTAGAGAGGAATTTCTTGACGATCAATCCAACCTCGGCTGTCTTGGTGCCTCGCGTTTGCGAGCGAGCGCTGTCACTTTCGACCTTGGCAGCGGCCGTCATCTTCTTCACCACCACGCTGCCCTGCATTGGAATGTTTACTACGTTCATCAGGCGGGTGGTCTCAGCGCCACCTTTGGAGAACGCATATGACAGGCTGCGACCGGGCAAACGGCTCGAAGCACGCGCAGGAACCTGTTGCGAAGCCATCATTTGCATCATTGCAACATGGCACACAGGAACACACAGCTAACACAGCAGCGCATGAACACAGTGAAACAGTGCAGCGCAAGTGCAGGTGACAATGAGACCGATCGATTGAGAAATTGAGGAAACTGAGTTCGAAGCACAGGCTTTCAATGCCTCAAGGACCATCATCTTCAGCACAGGCCTCTCGACAAACTTCTTCTGGCTGCCCATGAGCATCACCGTGAGCGCGTGCATCTGGCCCACGCACTGCTGCGCATTGTAGGTGGGGTCTAAATAATCTACGTGTGCATTGCTCCAAGCGAGGAGGTCGTCGTAGATCTCCAGTTGTTGAAGGTTGTGAGCCAGCGACAGCACGTTCAGGTAGGGGTTCTGCTGCTTGAACCACCCATTAAACTCGCCAGAGCTGGACTTGCTGCTGATGAAGTCTGCGTAGGCTTGTGGATATTTAGGATTGTAAGTGTTCAGCCGCGTCACGCAGCATTCTGCACGCCACGCTGCTTCCAGCTTGAGCGCCTGACAAATTGACTGAAATTACATGTGGTGACTTGGACACTCATTGTTTGCGGTGATGCAGTGATGCAGATTGAAACGGTGAAACGGTGAAACGGTGAGCAGTGAGGCAGCCAGCAGCCATGACGTGAGGTAACACAGAAGCAGAGACGTGAGACCGGGAGACCTGTGACATGCACACGAGCACAGCTGAACTCCGCAATGGCCTCTGCAAGTAGATCCCAGTGGTTGCACCCGGACCCATGATGGAACTGATTGAGCAGGCTTACGACTTTGCTGAAAATAGCATCTGGCGTTCCCCAATGAAGGACCTTCACTTTCCGCAGCCCACGTTTCAGCGCGTCTCTCACATTTTCGTTCTCGCCGAAGTCGGCAGCGCAACGATAAAGCGCTTCGGCACGGTGGTTGAAGCCACCGGCCAACAAAGGGAACTGCTTGTCGGCGGTCCTCCATCGGAAAATGGCTTCTCCTGGGCGAGCAAGCTTCATGAGAACACGGCCCAGGTTATGCTTAGCTTAGATTGTGACAAACATTTTTGACTTCATGGAATATGGACTCATGGATCTGTCCTGCCACAATTTGGGAGAGCCCCTCCTCCTTTATCCGCTCCACGTAACGTGCCACGGTGCATTCCTGCAGGTCGCGCGATAGGGGCGAACGGATCACGTTTCTGGTGCCTGGGCCGCCCGTCTCGCCTTCCGTGAACCACGGTACGTCGAGCTCCGCATCCAGGTACCAGGACAGGATGGCTTCCAGCAGGGAAGCGCCGCTCAGCGTGTTGCCGAACAGAACTTCAATGGTGAGAGAAGGGTCATATAAATCGAACTGGAGGGCTGTGCCAGGAGCCACCCCAGTCAATTTCCCGGGGACGGGAACTGCATTCTTCCAAGCTGAGGCCTTGGCAGCTTTTGCTTTAGCCTGCTCAGCTTGTATCGAGGGGCGCATAAGGTCGTCCAACTCCCTCTGGTTTACCTTTGTCTTCTTCGAACCCTTCGATGCTGATGCTGGCTTGGAGAGCGACATCGTCTCGGCGGCGCAAGCAACTGAGAGGATGAGGATGATGCAATTGCACTGGAGCAAATGAACTCGCTGCGGGCGGAAACAGACCCAGCAATGGTTGCAGCTAAGCGCGAAACTCTGCTGGCAAGGAAAACAACCAGGTGAAACTCAGTGAAACTCTGAAACCATCAATGAATCCATGAATCCATGATGCAGTGATGCAGCAAGCGCAGCAAATGCCAAATGCTGAGGACCCTGCCCCCACGTGAAACCGCTGATGCAAAGGCCCCAATGCCGCACTGCCAGAAGCGGAAGCGGTCTGTGTCGCCGAACTTATCGGTTTGCAGCCTGCGACTTAAACAAAGCAGCAGCATCCTGCATTCCGAGTCAAGAACGCTTGCGTCGTTTTGGACGAACTTTTCGGACTGCTGCTGACAGGCCGCCGTTCCTTTATCAAGGAAACCTGCCACATCCCCAAGCACAGCTGTACACTCAAGCAGTGACTGACAGACTGGCACACGCCCGGCCCACCATGTTCAAAAGCCGAACTTCAGGCTGCCTCCACCAGCGCCACTCTGTACTCTGTACATGTACACTGTGCACTGCCCTTACCGACCCCTGGCTTGCCCAGACGCCGACGCATCTTGCATGCGTCATGCGTGTAACTGAGCAGGCTGAGCAAACTCACAAGCACCTTGCCTTGCCCCTGCTGCGCTGCACACATACAAGACTACATCAGCAACATGACGCGTGAACGTCAGAGTGTGGGTGGGTATTATGAATCCTAAAGAAGAGCCAATGGGCCGTATGATCGAATGAGTTGGCTTGATTGCCAGCGCATCAAGACAAGGAGCAATATTCTTCTACAAATCATGTTCTACGCATACACATTCTGACACAAACCTCAGGCACACCGCCTGGAATTTCAGATCGGGAATTTCAGTTCTCGATGGGCGCCTTGGCTCTCATGCGACGCCTCGGGGGGGGCTCGTCCTCGAAGTTCCGTGCACGTCCTCTGGCGCCAACGAGCACAGGCTACTTACATACGGGCCTACCAAAACATCATACGAAACATCAGACCACACAACACGCCGTCAACACGCTGCTAACCTCTCAGCCAGCTTCTCTTTGCACGCACCATTGCCCGTGCATCCCGAATGCCGTACAGCAAAGGCGATGAGAGCTTCCGCTCCCACTGGGTGAGACCATGCAGCAAGATGACGGACATGACGAGCACATTCATGGAATTGCCGGCTTGGGTCAACATACAACGTGCGTTGCGTCCAGCTCGTGGCAGATTGAAAGAGCACAGCACAGGCAGCTCCCCAGCGCCGAGTT